CTCTGGAGAGACCCAAGCTCTGCTTACGGAAAATTCGAATTAGTCTTAAGAAGATGTCATTTTGTTTCTTACGTACGTGTTGTACCATGTCTTTCATGTTATCAGCTGGCCATGCATACATAAAGAGATACATGAGGAAACACATGTTGAGGAGCAGGAGCATCATTTTCGCAGTTATCGGTGCATTCTGTTTATGAAATTATTGCACAAGATCAGCATGTTGGACATGTTATTGGTTTCTTTTTAAATGTTTTACTTACCGTGACCATTATGACGGCGCACATTGTCATGAGGAATGAGCATACCGCTACAACAAAGAGTATCGTGAAACGAAAGCAAGTAATCACATCTTCCGCGTATCTGGAGGAAAACACAAGTTGCACGTGCAGTGAATGTAAATGTATCGTTAGGTCCACTGTTTCACGGATTTTCGCCAATACTTTGGAATCTGGAAGCAGCACATTCATAAAGCAGCTCGATGACAGTTTCAATATTATAAAAACCGTGAATGTTTATCATATGAATATTTGAATATCATATGAATTCGTGAAGTCTACGAAATTTACATGGTTTAAGAAAGTAGAAGCTGTTTCGAAATTTTCGCTGACATCTACGGAAATTAAAGCCTAATTTATACACGCACACACACATATATATATATATCGAGAGGAAGGTGTTGTTTGAAATATTAGAAACTTAGACAAGGTATTTCAAAATTTCTAGCTTACTCTATATTTCTCTGGCATTTCACGAACAGCGGACCTTGATGTATGTAATACAATACAACAGGAAATTTTTGTCTTTACCTCTTTAACTGTAACTGTTTGTCAATACATGCGGATAACGTACGATCAATCGCGTTATTTTTCAGCTCTGCAATCAAACACTCGAACCTCGCTGCGGTGAACCAAATCAGAAATCCTCCAAACACGCACATACACACGTGCGAGCAGCATTGATAGCACGCGACGATTTGATGCACGCGTACCATTATATTTATTGACGTGCGATTAGTGTCGAACGGATATTCCGCTTGTACTGCGGTGACCATTGGCAATACTATAGGGCCCAGCATATAAATGGACGTCCCTCCGTAAATGATGATTATGTATGTGGCGTAAATGAAATTGACTTTTGCTAGGTACGTGTTGAAAATCTCTCTTTCGTATTGCTGAATCTTTTTCACGCAAGCGTACATTTCCTCGACTATGCGCTGCAATTCGTTGTTAAAGCATTTTTTAACTAATCTTTTATGTCAGAGCTGGCTAACTGGCGGTCCTTGCCCCCACTCTTCTCACTGCTAGCGCTATCCCCTCCACTGCATCAGTTTTAGTATATTGGAAAGATCGATGTAGTAGAGGGGGTAACGACAAGCTGAGAGTCCGCTAGAGGGCTGAGTCAGTTAGCCGGCTCTGTTTTAGACAATTTCTGGCCACTGAATTTGGAATCGT